TTTTGTGCGGATCAAAGTAGATGCTCACAGTGGTTCTGTAATCTGCAAATCTGTATTACAGCCAATATCAGCCCTTTAACCTTTCAGATCTGACAGACATGACTTCTATGTAGAGTAACAAAAAGCTGTCAGGCTTGTAAATATTGAGTGAGCATGCACAGAGTTTTAGCCTGAATTTGAGTTTTTTCTTTAGCTCTGGTGAAAAGAAGTGGCTAGAAATAGTCCTTCTTTTTCCTACATTCAATCCAAATCAAGTAACGATTTGGAGTTTCATGTTAATAAACTAAGTAGGGCACCTAAACAGCAGTTTACTGACCTTCTAGAATAATTAGGATAAGGACTATGAACCCATGACCCATTATCAGGAAAGGTGGAAGAGTGGTGAGATATTGTACATAAGCTACTGTATGCTTGCTGATACTACAAATCGTCTGGAAACTGTCCTACAACTTCCTTTGGAGCGTGCTCATTGCATTATTCTTACCAGCCTTTCAGTAAGGAGGGATGGGAGAGTTTATTAACTCATTTTTAGTACAAGGGCATTTAAGATAGGTGTAGATGCTTGTATGTTTTTCAAATATGTCTTCCATATGTGTCCCTAAATTTGCCCTTGTAGAATAAATAACATACATACTTGCTTCTTTAAAATGCTGAAATGAGTAAAAATCCTGAAACAATTAAAGCAGAAAGGAGCAGCCAGTGACCTAGCAAACTGAGAGAGAAACATAGTATAGAATGACTGTTAGCACTGCCTGGAGACTTTTCTTCTTAATTTTCTGTATTACCTTTTAGCTTCAGAAAAACAGTAGCCTGTTCTGCGGTGCTCCTGGACTGACCTCAGTTGTGTGCTGGAGTGACACAGTGGCTAACCTAAGAATTACTGAGAAGTCACATCTGTACTTTTTTTAATCCTGAACATTTGTGAATGTTGAGAGACTTCAGAATTCTAGGGCTGTAGGGAATTATTTTTTCTTTTAATCAGTAATTGCAATTGCTTTGTGGTCATCCTGACAAATTATTTTATTGCAGTTTTGAAGTAAGTCTACCTTAAGTCCTCCATAAAAATATATTTATTAAGAAACCCTCACTCTTATGAAGAGAGAACAAGAAAACTTTTTTGTTTGGGATACAAAATGAGTCTATGACATTTATTGAGTACTTTCTTTAGTTTAGCCAAAAGTGCTGTATAAAATTGTGCTGTGCTTTTTACAGGTTTTCGATGAGAAAGCATTAAGAACATAGATATGAGATGTATGATTTTCAGTTCTCCCTTTTGTGTATCTAAATCAAAGCAGTTCTCACACCTGAATGAAAAATAACTTTAATTTGGATTAAGAACTTTAGACAACTTCATTTAAAGAGAATTAGTAAAATTAATGTTTCTTATTTTCTGTGAATCGGTTACATCCTTAAGAATATAATTGAATATCATCTGTGCAATAAATTAGTTTCAGGATCAGTATAGATTCTCTAGGTATCCCTCTTTCTGGCATTATTGAAAAATACCATGAAAAGTAGCAGCTTGCTACACATAAAGTAGATAAATATGTTTCTATGTATACTTATTTTCTGATGTTCAAAAATCAAAGTTCAGAGTAATTTCAGCATTCATGAGAAACAACCTCAGGACATAGTTTTATCAAGGTGGAAACATGTCTAAGACACAATGACAAAGTCACTTCATTAACTGCTCAAAAATAGCTGTCTCTTTGCAGGCATTTACTCTTGTGAGAGATAAATCATGCTTTTTTTCACTAAGCATTAGACACCTTCAAATTATCTTGTATTTACCACGGTGTAAGGTGTGCACTTGACAACAAACCAGTGTTAACTGTTGTTTCAAATTGCTCATTAGCAGCCTCTAGCCCCAGTATCAGCTTGTATGCTCCTGTCCCACCTAGAACGGTAGTTAATTTGAAATTGTCCTGGTTTGGATTAAAAAGTAGGATTGAATTGCAAAAAATACCATTGTAATGTAGTTCATTAATACAAATTTGCTTTTCCTGACATGTGTTGCCCTAGCTCAGGTACAAGCCCAGGTACAAGTGTTCTACTATGTGATTTTTTTTTTTTTTCAAATTGGTCAGGATTTTTAAGCTACACAGAGTGTTTAGCCAGGTTCTTACCTGTAGCTAAAGTCATTACATTTTGCTGAATGTTACCCATTGTGCTTCTGCTCTCATCACTTTCCTTCACTTAACATCCAGTTAGTGAAGGATGTAACTACCATGATTTTAGAAAAAATAGATCAGTACTTGCCTGATTCTAAAAACACCTCTATGCTAAATTTAATGGACTTTGCTAATGCACTGGGATTAGTCTTAATACTTTCTGGTGCTACATTTTTAGAAGAGTAAGTTTCTTCCCCCCTCAAATGAAAACTAATCGTATGGTTATATTTTTGACTATGTGTCTAACTTGGAAATCAAAAGGGCAGGTTTTAAGTAGAACTGGAGTTTTTCTACTATAACTTCTTTAGTGCACCTGTTCTAGTCACTCTTGGACTGTTCAGGCTAATTTTGGCTTTTGCTATTTTAAGCACTTGCAGGACACTAAAGGCTGTATTTATGGTATTTGCCTTAAAAGCATTAAATACTCATTTCATAGGTGTCTACAAAACAGGTGTAGTTTATTGCATAACACCCATGTGCTCCACAAATGTTGTTTGATTATTTTTTAATTTATCAGGAAACTCTGCTTTGGGCTGAAAATTGTAGTTATCAGAAGAGGAAATAAAACATGCATAGCAGGCTAAAGAAGATGTGATTTATTTCTTTGTGTAAGACACAGACTCATTAGATTATTAACATAATCTGATAACACATTTTTCTTTAATCTTCATACAGAATCAGCAACCCAGTTTTTAAGATGTCACTTTCTTTTGTCTTTGTAGATAAACTCTCCTGATTTAGACTATACCTCCTAGGTTTTTAGCCAAATTTATCTACAGTTATTGTGGTGAGATTGTTATACCTAACCTGACTGACAGTCCTTTCCCCCTCCACCAAGCTTAATTCTGTAAGACCAGTAATATCAAGTAGCTGTTTGAGTTGCAGTCCCAACTTGCTACTCAGCCAAAAGCTGTCCTGCAGCTACCAGGATGCTGTTTCAGGATGTCTTTCAGGTAATGAATGAGTTCCTGGCTCCTGTGAAGTCCCTATATGTCCAAATTTTTCTTCAATAGGAGTAAAACAACTTGATTTTCATGGCTGTTACTTTGAAATGTGCAAAGCATTAGTCAACCAAATCCCAGTGATTTTTAATGGCATTGATCTCCTTCACACTTCCTTGCAATTCCTCTTGCAGTACAACTGTAAAACCTTTAGGTGGGATCTCAAACAATAAAGGAACTATTGACCTGATTTTGGTCACACAGGGGTCCCTAGTAGAATTATAGAATCATAGAACAGTTTGGGTTGGAAGGGACATTTAAAGATCATCTAGTCCATCCTCCCTGCCACAGGTAGAGATACCTTTCACTAGATCAAGTTGCTCAGAGCCCTATCCAACCTGACCTTGAACACTTCCAGGGGCGGGGCATCCACGACTTCCCTGGGCGGCCTGTTCTAGTGTCTCACCACCGGAGGGAAAGATGCTGAATCCAAATCTTTGTGAAAATTAATAATGTAATCACACTTCCTGCTGTGACATATGCTACATTAGCATGTGTGTTCTGTGCTTGTGTGTTGCGAGATTCTGGGCTTTTATTTTTGCAGTGCTGACACATTCCAAGACAGCAAAACAAAAGAGATTCTCAAAGTAGCTGTTGTTCCACATAAAACATGTTTTATTGTTCACAGTCTTTCAATATGGCTTTCATGCATAAATCTCACAATTGCCAGATGCATTTGGTGGGAATCCTGGTGAGAACTTGGATTTCCTTCACAGTAGAAAAGCACAGAAGTACCCAAGATAGCATAGTTGTGACTGTACCAGAAAGAGAAAGAAGAAATTAACCTTGGGTGCTGGTAGTGAACCACTACTACAGCAAGGCTGCTTACAGTGCTATGATCAGAAATGTAACCATACGTGGAGTTATGCTTTCCTTTTATGTCTGTTCTCTGTCACCAAGTGGCTCATATTCTTTGGCATATAGTGGCTCACTTCCAGTAAGAAGGAAGAAATATGGTTCCATTTCTGTTCTATGACCTGATGGTTAAAACAAACAACTGCTAAATGGGAACTTGGTATTAAAAATCCCTTTGAGTAAGGTGACCTTAAGCCTAGTCTTCAGTTTCCTAGTGAGTATTTTAAGCAAAACGTGAATGTTGCTGCCAATACCATTACCCCCATAACAACATTTAACTACCATCCTGCTAGTCTCAGTCATTGTTTGAACTTGAGCACCTAGTTTATCAGCATATGAGCAGGTGCCTCTGAATAGATGCAAAGGGAACTTTATGGCCTCCATGGGTAGAGGTGCCGACTGGGTGTCGACTCCTCAAAGATGTAAGGAGAACTTGGTGTAAAACAGTTTGTGATTTATTTTAACAACTTAGCAGTCCGCATCTGGCCTGCCATCCTAACTACTGTGTAAAGGTGCAGCAAGTTAATAATAGGGAGTTCTTACACCTTAACATTCCAGAAATTCTATAGCTAATGTTGCATTGTCATGAAGCACAATGAACTTCTGCAAGGCATGCCTTGTGGAAAGTGAAATAAATTGTTGTTTCTAATAAAATCTATAACTTCTCAAGCATGCTAGTGATACTTATGTATCTCAGATGATAGTTTTCTGCAGAGATTTTTGGTGGACTTTTTTGTGATTTAGGAAAGTATTGTCTGAATGAAGAGGTTTTCTGTTTCTGCTTACAGTAAATGTGAAACCTTAATATACAAGCAGATACAAATCTTAAAATATACTGTAGTAAACCAAGTATGTTAAGAGGAAAATGGAAGAACTGAAAATGTCCTTGTCTTCAGGACATTATTTCAAATTACTCAGCAGAAAACATCTGTATTTACTTCCCACCCCGGCAAAAAAAAAATATTAAAGAAAAATTAAATACTTTGTTCTCTGAATTCACTTAAAGATTAAAATTGCATAATGGTTAAGTTTTTTAACCAAGTTTATCTCTAGTGAAAAAGGGAAGGAGTATTTTGAGTTTTTATTTATTCACTAAGTAGGTCTTAAAAATAAGGATTTATGACAACTAAATGTCAGAGTAAATCAAAACAATTTTGTAATTTTGAAGGTTAAAATAGTTTTTAATCTGTAATGGGAACAACACTAGGTATGTTAGTGGTAAGGAACATTTTTTCCCCTTGGGTTATCAAAAAAGATTTTTCTTTTCATGCAACACATTGTCATGCAAAACCCCTTTTTTTGTAATGAAATTGGTTGGAATCAGAGAAGAATCCTGCTGTCAGGATGAAGAGCAGCGCTCCATCTTTCCTAAAGTAGTTCAAGTTCTTTGTTTTGCTTTCTTTTAAGCTGACCCTATTTTTGTGTCAGTGGGTTGTTGCTTTTTTCGTTTGTTTGTGCAGTCATATTTGTCACATGGTTTAATCTCAGTCTGGTTAAGAACAGTGCAGTAATATACTCTCATTTGCATATATCCATCTTGTTTTCATATAGATGATATTTAGCTCACCTGAATACCAGGGATAGTGGCTATTTTTCAGGAGCAGAGTGTGTATCTTTAATATTTAGATAATCTTTCAGAGAAAGGTCAGAACAGGTAGGAAATGATAGTCAGGTCATGTTCATTGCTAGGCACTGTGTAGAAGGTTGCATTAATTCTGATATCTTTATTTTGTTTTCAGGGCCCTAATTCAGTTATGATCGCCCTGGTAATGCTGTTGAATATTGGTTTAGCCATTCTGTTTGTCCATTTTCTAACTTGATTGGAATTAGAAAAGGTAAGAAACGTCTTTTGTTTTCTTGTAAGATCACGATATCCACCCCACCTCATACAATAAAGATTTAATTTCTTTGCATCCTTTTAACATTCCCTACTTTAATTTTAGCTATGCCTGAATGTGATTCAACATAGTTATTTAATAATGTAACTGTTTTGACCCTTCAGTGAAGTCATGACAACTAGTGGTGTTAGCCCACAGTTCTCTGCAGTTGTGTCATCAGCCTTTTAAATGGCACCTGTCATACTCAGACACAGGGAAGGAGGCTTGGAATTAGGATGGGACGCAAGAGAGATGAAACTTGGAAAATTCAGCCAGGGGCCCAGATCAGTTTCTCTGTTGATGCCTCGTGGCTTTGGGGTCCTCTGAAAGCTGAAGCAAGCAGCCATGTTGGAAAACAAACAAAATAATCTGCTGAAGCAGCCCCGCCAGTGAAGTGCGTTGGCTTCTCCATCTGTTCCAGCAGAGTGTGACTAAACTGGAAATGTACGGAGCTGCACTTTTTGTTGATGGAAGCTAACAGCTGCCTTACTATTTTACCGTCTGATGTTTTTAGTGGGGAGATGGGAAAACGACTGCCAGAGGAATGTGGTCAGAGGATTCTGTTGCTGTGGAAGTGATTCCAGCGTTCACTCCTATCTCATTAGAAGAAATAGTTAGCAGCATCAGTCACCAGTCTTATTCCATTACCTGCTGCTTTTAACATCTCCTGCAGTGTTCTGGGAGATCAAATTTCATTTGCCTGTGCATGATTCTGTTCATTCGTTGTTTATGAAATTTCATGTGTAGCCATAACATAGTGTCCAGTCCAACCTGCAGAAAGGTACCAGTTCTGCCTAGCAGCAGAAGCAGAAAATGAAATCTCTTTTTCTAATCTGAAGATAAAATTATTAAATTAATTTTCCTAAACCTGAAGAGCTGTTTTGCTTTAAGCTTTAGTAATACACCATGACTGCAAAATTTAAAACTGTTGATATCAAATGCTTATGCCAACAGCAAGCAAAATTTTTCATAATAAAAGAATAAGAATCTTAAGTTGCTATCAGCACATTCTAAACAGGAGGTGGAATATCAGAATAAGTCAAGAAAGATGAAATACTCGGTTTGCATGTTGACTTCTTCTTTTCTTTCTTTTTTTTTTGTTTTAATTCTGATGCTGTGGTAATTGGTGATTTGAATAATTATGTTTCAGCACTGAGGTATGAGCGATTAAAATAAAGTATTGTCTAAATGCACATTAATGCCAATGACAATTAAGCTAGCTAATGCTCATAATAAATTATCATCGTTTTAAAATACTAGATTTGTGTTGAATACATTCAGGTAGAGCATTGTTTATCGATTTGATGCCTTCAAGGTCTTTAAAGTCCATTTATAATTTTACCTCAGCATTAAAAAAAGCCTCAACATTTTTCATTTGGAAAGTTTGTCTTAAGTAGCTTCACAGCCCTTTGTTCAAATGATGTGATCATGTTTCTTTTTATGTGCCATTATACTGTAATTATTGTACCCTATATTAATCAAAAGCATGCTTATTTACTGAAAATATGTGGTGTGATCATTTGGCAAGTAAATATTTTCATTTAAAGCTACAAAAAGCAAAGGGCTTGTATTAGGGTTTATTTTATCTCTACTAGAAAATCGTTCATACAATATAGTTTTTGAACCTGTTTGTAAACTTTCTAAGTGTTTGCATGGTTTAACGGGCAACATTCTTACAAGGTACATTAGCAATCTTTTGATGCAGCATATTAAAGTAACGTAGGTGTGGACTGAATATTGGGCAGCGAAGCAGCTCCAAGCAGGGCAGTAACACCATGGTGTTTTTTACAGAAGTATGTTGAGAATCCTGTGTTTTGACCAGTGTGGATAAAGAAGAAAGCAGAAAGAAAGCAAATGAAACTAGAACTTGTATATTTATTTTTTAAAAAAGAAATATTAAATTGTGTTTTAAATTTAGGAAAGTGATTTTTAAATAAGAACAAAAAATTAAAAGTTACTGTGTAAGCCTTGGCATAATGGACAAAATGTTCCAACAGTGAAATCATCCCCTGTCTCCTTACATGGAGAGGTAATTTTGTAACTGACATATTTAATTCCTCTTAAATGTTTATTTAAAATACTTTATTCTCTGGAAATAATGGGTAACAAAGCTTATGAAAATGTTTATAAATTTAAGTAAGCATGTTAGTACCATTTATAAATATGTATGATTTATAAGCTTTTTTAAAACAAAGCTCAAACAAATTGTTGGTATTTTTCTAAAATGTGCACAGCTGTATTTTACATGAAAGGCTATTTATAATTGGTTGTTATACTGTACACTACATTTTGGACAGCACAATGAAGCCTGCCAATGTACTTAATAATGTCATTTTGTCTATTTAAAGTTTCTTGCTGTCAAAGAATTAACTCCTTATCTATGAGTTTCTCTATTTATAATTCTTGAACCAAAATGTACAATGTACAGTTTTCACAACTGTATTTGCTCTAATAAAAATAAATTCATTATTAATACAGTTTCAGACTAGTTATTCCTGTTTATGAATTACTTTGCTCTCTGGAAACAAGTTTTCTAACAAATTCAGTAAATGAGGAATGAAGCAGGAAAACGGGTGAAGCCCTGGCCCCTTGGAGATCATTTTGAGTTACTGTTTTCAACAAAACTATTCTGGGAAACAATTTAAAGTTTAAAAAACAAAAAAAGGCAGCAAGTTTCCTTATTGGCCTTTTATCTTCTGATACAGGATTTTTGGATCTTTATAAATTTAGTATCTTAAATTATACTCCCCCTAAAGGGATAGTTTAATCAGTCTTGTTGTAATCAGTGTGTGACTGGCCCATTAACAGCTGTTCTTGTAAGTGAGTCAACAACTTCTTTAGACTTCCCTCCTTCTCAAGGTCTTTACAGGTTCAAAATTAACGTGAAGTTTGTAAGCCAATATTCTACACAGATAAAATTCACCATTACAGCTATCTTAAAGCCACCACACTTGCTGCACTAGTAAATCAGCTGAGAATTCTTTTTTTCTGATACCAGTTGAGATTACTAGCCAACTGTACTGAAATCCTAATGTTTACTTGAAAAGAAGAGCAAGTTTTCTTAGTAGATGCTATTTAATGGAAATATATTTTTATGGAGTTGTTATTGCTGTCTTATTCTTTAAAATATTTCTACCAGCACGAAGCTTAACTTCAATAATTAATATTTTCTATGCCCTAACTCACCCCCTAAAGAAAATTTTGGGCTCTTCAAGTAAACTGCATTCTCAAGAAAAATAAACAGAAATAACTACAATGCCAGAAAATTTTAAAATCAAGTTCACTGAGACAGCTCTTCTCTGACATTTTGTGATCCACATTGTATAACAGATTCAATCATAATCATAGAATCACTTAAGTCGGAAAAGACCTTCAAGATCATCAAGTCCAACCATTAACCCTACTCCACCAAGTCCAGCTGTAAGCCATATTCCCAAGCTGTGCATCTAGATGACTTCTAAGCACATCCAGTGATTGTGATTCAACCACCTCTCCAGACAGCCTGTTCCAATGTCAGACAACCCTTTCAGTGAAAAAGTTCTTTCTTATGTCTAGTGTAAGCCTCCCCTGGCACAGCTTGAGGCCATTTTCTCTTATTCTATCACCAGTTACTTGTGAGAAGAGACCGGCACTGACCTCTTTGTAACCTCCTTTCAGGTAGTTGTAGAGGGCCATGAGGTCTCCCTTCAGCCTCCTTTTCTTCAGACTAAACAGCCCCAGTTCCCTCAGCCGCTCCTCATAAGACTTGTTCTCAAGGCCTTTCACCAGCTTCGTTGCCCTTCTTTGGACACACTCCAGCACCTCAATATCCTCCTTGTATTGAGTTGCCCAAAACTGGACACGGTATTCAAGGTGTGGCCTCACCAATGTCAAGTACAGGGGGATGATCAACTCCCTGGTCCTGCTTGCCACACTATTTCTAATACAGGCCAGGATGCCATTGGCCTTCTTGGCCACCTGTGCACACTGCTGGCCATTCAGCTGCCTATCAATCAGAACCCCCAGGTTCCTTTCTGCTGTGCAACTTCCCAGCCACATTTCCCCAAGCCTGTAGCATTGTGTGGAGTTGTTGTGGCCCAGGGGCTGGACCCGGCACTTGGCCTTGTTGAAATTCATACAATTGACCTCGGCCCATAGATCTAGTCTGTCCAAATCTCTCTGTAGAGCCTCCCTACCCTCAGGCAAATCAACGCTCCCTCCCAACTTGGTGCCCAATAAGGTAAGTAAATTTGACATGAAATATTTCTTAAGTTCTATGAATGTGAAAATATACCCAGGCATGTATAAATCTTCACTACAACAAGCAAAGGAATCCCCCAGAAATAAAAGAAAAAAAGTTTTCCTAATTCCCTGAGAAATGTGTCAGTTGTCCCTGCCCATCAGTGTTCATAACTCTCAAAAATCAACGTGTGCGCAGAAATACACCAATTTTTCTATGATGTGTGAACAGAGATAGACGTATCTCCTCTGAGATATTTTTACCAGTGGTTTATATCAGTTGTAAACTTAGAAATGGGTTCATGTGGTAATGCATCTGCTAGGCCTGAGGAATGCATGGACACACAGTGCAGATGAATGCTACTAGATCTGCTCTAACTTGGTAAATTTTTCTCCACTTTACTGCAAAGAAGCTTTTTCACAGCAAAGTAGTCTTTCCTGACACAGTTGGTGTTTCCTCACAGATGCCAGTAGGCAGTGAGCTCTCACCTTGGAATTTCTGGTCTGGCTTCTTGGGCAACTCTGTTTACCTGATTAAACAATAAGAAAACAGCAAATGAGTGATATTGAGATACCAAAGGCTGAAGAAAAAAAAATAAAATCATCTGTTATCATTGCTTTTTAGTGTATCTAGTCTTTTCTTCACTTAGAATATATAGTCTTTATTTTGCCTTCCCATCAGAAAAGCAGTAAGGAAGGCCAAGAGCGTGGAATCTTCTGCATTTGATTTCCAAAGAGGGATGTGGTTTGAAAGCAGCGATGTCATGATATATGACTACAACTTGCCTTTCAGATACAGATGTATTTTTAAAAAATCATTAATACAGCTGGGTCCTGATTTTAACAGGGGTAAATACCCCTTTACAAGTGTTTGATTCAGTCTTGAAATAATTTCTAATGACACACGTATCTATTATGTATTCATGTATCTATTAGGGTGCAGTTAGACAATATTAAAAGATTCTGACAATTATGTGGATGCAACAATACAAGCCTGCATTGAGCTAAAATAACATTCTTAGTTGTTATTAATAAAACATGGTTGTGAATTGTATCTAAATGGTTTTACCCACAGCTCATTTGAGCTATTTAGGTAGGAGAGCCAGTTCTACATACCATTGTCCTATGGAAATGTGATTCAGTAAATAAAGCAAATGAAGAGAAGGGCAATAAAATAAGCCTTTCAAATTAAGTACTCTTCTCATTTTTGCAACTAATATTCACAGAAACAGGAAAAAATAGAAATTATGTTAAGTCTGAGCAAGAAGCAGTGTAAGGCAACATGCTGTAGCTGAGCCATTACAGCATCCATCTCACGTTTTTTTCTACTGGGCGCAGAAACTGCAAAAGAACAGATTGCATTGTAGTCTCCTCCTACCATTGTAGGTGGGAAAGATAATTTCCATACACAACATCTTTAAGAAAAACTGTCTATAGTGTCAATGTCTTTTATTCTAGGAGGAAAAAGTAAAAACTTCATCTATCTAAACAGATAATGTTGTGATCATCACA